GCAGGACTCCAGATGTGGGATCTAGCTGTCAACTGGTAGAAACACATTACTCCAATATGTCATGGTTTAGTGCAGCGGTTCGAAGTCTCCCTGTGGTTCTGGATGCTGCCTGGCCCCACTGCACTCTCCTGTGGGGTGCTTCTTCGGTGACAGAGTCTGGTGTGAGGACTCACCAGCAGGTGTGGTAGTACAGCACATCTGGAATGATGCACACAGCTGCCGTTGAGGTTTCTGTTGGCAGGGGCTGTCAATCAGAGTGTCTCCAGTGTCAGTCACCTCAAATGCTTCCTGTGGCCTCTCCTGTGACATGGGTGCTTGCCTGAATGGCAGCTCAGATCCAAGGGAGTTTGTCCTCGGGTCTTCAGCGCTCCTTCCCCAGGGGTGGTGGCTTCCCAGAGTTGTGTCATTTTTTTATTTATTGAGACAGTCTCACAGATCCCAGGCCACACTGGTAACAACTTCTGCTTATGGCAGTTTCTTTGCATCCATTCCCTTTCCCCTGAATGTTATCCCACTCAACTTGAATCATCCCATAAAAACCCAAACTCCCCTTTGTCTGGGCTGCTCTCCCCTCTCTCAGAGACAGCCTGGCAGTTCATATCCTTATAAAGCTTCATTCTTTGGCTTCATTGCAGCTCTGGTTGGTCTCACTTTCCTATAAACCTTAGACCAATGAATTCTTCTAGAGTTGCCTCTGTCATGGTGTCTCTTCATAGTGATAGGAGAGTAACTAAGACATTGTGTTTGTGTATGCATATGTGAGTGCAGTGTCTTTAGAGGCCAGAAGAGGGCGTCAGATTCCTGGAGCTGAAGTTAGTGGTGATTGTGAGCTCAGAACCAAAGTCCTCTGCAAGAGCAGCCAGTGCTCTTAACCTTCTCTTCACCTCCCCCTCTTTTATTTCTAATATCTCTTTTTAGTTTAGGGGCTTCTGGATCATGTGGATGAGCTGAACTTGAACCCCTTACTCAGCTCCCTGAGAGAGTTCTTTTTCCTATTCAGAGGCCCTGCTGAGTCAAAGTAGCTTTCTTTGTAAACTATAAGCCATCTCTTCATCCTCACAGACCCAAGCTTCAAGGCCAATTGCTCCCTCCTTCTCAAGTACTCCATCCTCATCCTCAGTTCCTAGGCATTTTCTCTTTACAGCAAGAGTTCCTGCAGAGCTCTGAGTGGTTTGGCTCTGGAGTGTTAGCACCTGACTGCCTTTGTGATCGCTACCTTTTGTGTCCTGTACCTTCTGTTTGGAGTAGGTAAATCTTATCTGAGAGTTTCTTAAAGGTTCAAAGCCTATGCAAAACTTGGTTGTGGGAAGACTCAAAAAATGGAGATGTATTGTGACTGGGAATTGCTTAGGGATTTGTCTCTTTGGGGAGCTTCAGATAAGAGGTTTTGGTATGTGGAAATTTACCTTGCTAAAGGTGTAAATTGTATAACAATAAAAAAGCCTTTTTGCAAAGCTAGTCAGTCAATTCCCCAGAGGCTGAGTCCCCTGCGGCTTCGAAGGCTAAAATTCATCCTAGAGTGATCCTGTTTCTTCCACGGACCCGCGTGAACTGAACACCCGACACAACATTCCTCTTGTCTGGGAGCTCAGCTGTGAATATACAAAAGGCAGCCAAGCGTGCCTGTGTTGTGAGTGCGGTATTTTCAGGTGACTGGGTTCGGACCTGTTGTACATTCTTTGGCCTGGTGCATCTCAGGAAGAAAGTTAGGCACATGTTGTTCTAAACCTCAGTTCTTACAGGAAACCTACACTCCTGGTTTCTCTGGGCCAGGGAGCCCGAAGCTGATGCAAAAAGACTTGACTTATACTGTCTTGCCTTTGGCCCATCCCTCCCCTCTCCCTATGGTCTCTCTCCTGGCTCTACCCATCCCTGTGGGAATTGCACGTGCCTCCTTCTTGCCCCATTTTTTTTTTTTTTTTTTATGTTCGCCCCCCACCCCTACCTCCAGGCCCTGCAACTCCTCAAAGGCCTCAATTAAGGCTCCACGGAGCGGATCCTGCCCTCGGGGTCCGCCGCAGCGCTAACTGGCCCTAGCCGGGAGGATGCAGAATGGGTTGCAAGCGCCAGGGTGCGAGGGAGTGACGTGTTGACACAGCCGTGGACAAACAAGGCGGTCAATTATTAACCTGTCGTGCAGCAGGCACCAGGAAACCCGAGCCGGCACCGTCAACCGAGAGGGGCGGACCCAGGCTCGAGGCCGAGAGCAGTGCAGCCCGCGCGCACCCACGCTGATCCCGCCATGGAGGCAGGTGAGGGGTGCCGGGTACGAGGGGAAAAGCGCAGAGACTGAGGGCGCAGGCAGGAGCGAGGCGACCCTGGGGTCGGGCACTCGCGCGTCCAGAGCCCGGGAGCCAAGAGGTTGCAGCGGAAAGTTTGGAAATACTCTTTTGCATCGCTGCGGGGCATCTGGGGAGGAAGAACGGCCCCCAGTAGACAGCAGGTGCCCTGGCAGCAGTAAATGGCTCTGCATTTTCCACCCAGACTCTCCTGGCTGCGTCCGGGCGTGTGCTTGCTTTGTTCACCCCCGGGACCAGGCTGAGGCCCCTCAATTAGGGTGAACCAGCAAGGAGCATGTAGAGCCGTAGTTGGGAAGATTTCACAGGCTGGATTGGAGACTGGGTCCACGCCGGGTGGGTGGGTAGGCGTGGATGCTCCGTGGTAGTGTCCCATCGCGGCCACACATCCAAGCGGAGGACCCCGGGGGCCGAAACCGCATCCCCACACTCACTGGGGAATCCCAGGTTCGAGGGGCGTGGGGTGGTGCTGGGATCCATGCAGGGTCGAGATCATGTGCTCGCATCCGCTGCACCCACTATAGAGGATGCTGGGGTGACTAGCAGAATTCCATTGTACCCCGCCCCCTTCTAGAACACCCAGGCCTTGGAGTAGCCCCATCCCCTCCCCTGTCTCAACTGGACTGTCGCCTCAGGCTCGGGTGTCGAGAACTCGAGAACTCCAGGCCACAGAGCCGGGCGCAGCCAGTGGATTTATTTACTCAGAGGCCCCTATCTCCGTGCCATCAGGCCAGGTATTTGTGCTGGCGGGACCCAGGGAAACTGAGGTTTTTGTTATGATAACTGGGGCAGTGGCTTGGCGTTTCTGTGACCGCTTTCTGGAGGGACCGGCTCCTTGGCTCCTTCTGCAGTGGCTTTAACTCGCTGAAGTGCTTGCTGGGCGCTTGGTGCTCTGGTCTGTTTAAGGAGGCTCCTTAAGACGTGGGGAGGACCTGAGCCCAGGGCCCGGGCAACCGCTCCCTGTCATCGGTGTACACTGCGGTTGCCATTATCTATCCTTATTTTATGGTTGGTTTGGAAAGAGGCCCAGAGTGGTGGGTCCTAGGTCCGGTGCCTGCATCTGCCCTGAGGCCAGCCCACACAGGTGGGGGTGGGGTGGGGTGGGGCTCCTGGGACCGATAAGCTGTTTCTGTCCAGGAGTAGGCTCACTCGGGCTCATTGGCAGTGGCGGATGAAGGATTTCCCTACAAGAGAGGGGAGGAGCTCCAACGTGCCAGTGGTGTGTGTGGGTGTGGGTGGGTGTATGTGTCTGTCTGTCTGTCTGTCTGTCTAACTCTGTATATGCACGTGTGTGAACTAGTGGGCTGACAGTGTGCATAGAGGCCAGAGGTGGACTGCAGGTGTGTTTAGCACTTTCTGCCTTATTCCCTCCGAGGGGGTTTCTTACTGGGGCTCAGAAGTTTTCAGCCATCCTCCTGTCTCCATCCTCCACAGCACTGGGGTTTCTGGTGTACACCCCCATTTCCCACAGACCCCTGCTTTTTCTGTGGGTGCTGTGGATGTGAACCCAGGTCCTCTTGTGTGTTCAGCAAGTGCACTTACCCACCATCCCTTGGAGGTGCACGTGATTTTAAAAAACTTTTACAGCCCGGGAATGGTGGCCCGTGCCTTTGATCTCAGCGCTCAGGAGGCAGAGGCAGGTGGATTTCTTGAGTTTAAGGCCAGCCTGGTCTATAGAGTGAGATCCAGGACAGCCAGGGCTACACTGAAAAACCCTGTCTTGGAAAAACAAAAAATCAACCCCCCCAAAACCCCAAATTTCATAAACATTTCCATTCCAGCCTCCCTCCCCTTCCTCCTCCCCTCCCCTTCCCTCCCTCCCCTCCTTCCAATATGGAAGATAGAACCCAGGGTCCCAGGAATGCCCGGCAAGTTCTCCACCACTGAACTACATCCCAGCCTTTAGCAAGTTTTCCTAATGTTTTAACTCTGAGGTATTGTTCAAATACATCAGACCAAACATAGCAGAATGTGTGGTGTGATCTCTTCAAGAATCAGACACTCCTCAAGCCCCCATCATGCCAGGGCACAAGCTAGGGATACATAGTGAGAACTTGTCTCAATAAATGAAATTCAGATAATTTAAAATTTAGTTTAAAATTGCAGCTTGGTGCCAGGCAGTGGTGGCGTACGCCTTTAATCCCAGCACTCGGGAGGCAGAGCCAGGTGGATCTCTGTGAGTTCAAGACCAGCCTGGGCTACAGAGCGAGTTTCAGGAAAGGCACAAAGCTACACAGAGAAACCCTGTCTGGAAAAACCAAAAACAAACAAACAAACAAAATTGCAACTTGGCTCCAAGTGTGTTTCTCTTTACTTTGTAGAACATGAATGCTTTTTTTATAATTGCAGTGTCTGGGTATCAGAGTCGGTAGGTGTTAGTATTTTTATTTTGTGTGTGTGTGTATGTGTGTGTGTGTGTGTGTGTGTGTGTGTGTGTGTGTGTGTGTGGTTTTCAAGACAGGGTTTCTCTATGTAATCCTGGCTATCCTGAAACTCACTCTGTAGACCAGGATGGCCTCGAACTCACAGAGATCCTCCCGCTCCTGCCTTGAAGGTGTGCGCCACCATGCCGGGCTTGTTGTTTTCCTTTACTTTTATTTATGTATCTTTGTTGTTGTTGTTCTTCTTCCTCCTCCTCCTCTCTTTAGGCTGTGTGTGTGTGTGTGTGTGTGTGTGTGTGTGTGTGTGTGTGTGTGCTCGCACATGCGCAAGGGTGAGCGGGAGCATGGGCGTGTGCTTGCCCATAGTTCACAGTGCAGGTCAGAGGACAGTTTGCAGGGGCCTTGTCTCTCCTACCATGTGGGTCTTGGGGATTGAACTCGTGACCCAGCGGCAAGCTCTACCATGTGGAACCATCCAGCTGGCCTTTCTTCCTGTTTCTGAGATAGGGTCTTGTAGCCCCGGCTGGACTTGAACTTGCAGCAATCCATCTGAGTCCTGGGATGGCGCGGCCTGTTGGTCCCCGCCCCTCTTTGGCTTTTCTTGAAGAATGCTCGCACAGTCCTAATTCTTCGCAGTGCAGATTATTGGGGTTTGGGCCCTGGATGCTGAGGCTGTCAGTGTTACCTCAGCTCTGTTGTGATTCCCTGGTGATGTGCTCCTTACTCAGCTCGGTCGGTTGGTTCTGGTTCACTGTGTGTGGCTTCTCTCCATAGTGGGCTCACCTCTCAGACTTCCTGTGCTGGGGTGTGGGTCTGCCCCTACACCTGCTGCTCAGGGCTGCATTCCATACTTGTGGGGATTAAGTCTAGAGTGCCAAAGCGTCCCTGATTGTTCAGGACTTGGAGTCCTCCAGGACCAGAAACAGTCAAGGGCAAAGGAATCGGACGGTGGATCAGCTCACACCCAGTGCTCAGGACGTCCAGAATCTCCCCTCTGTTCTTCCTGCTGGGCCATTCCTTTATCCTGGGCTCTGGGCTAGCAGGGAGCAGGAGGTGAGGCGCCTTCCTGCGGTTCTCACTTTCAGTGTCCCCGGGTGGCTTTTGTGTTTTATCTCAGGGGTTTTAGTTGTAATCAGCTGGAGAGACAAGCTTTTTAAAAAGTATGCCTAGGTCTGGAGAGTTGGCTCAGGGGTTAAGGGCACTTGCTGCTCTTACAGAGGACCCTGGTTCATTTCTCAGCATCCATATGGCAGTTCACAACCATCTGTAACTCCAGCTCCAGAGGGTCCAACGCCCCCTTTTGGCCTCCACAGGCACTGCATGCATATGATGTGCAGACATACATGCAGGTAAAACACTCATGCATATAAAAATAAATACATTTTTAAAAGAGTGTGCTTAAAGCACGCAGCATGAACTTTTCTATCATGAATGTTTTTGTCCTTATTCTTTTCCCAAGAGGGGAGGCCATAGGTCAGCCTCAAGTATTATCTCTTCCTGCTCTGTTGTTGAGTCTCCCACTGGCTATTAATCATCAATTAGGCTAAGGTGGCTGGCTGGCTGGCCACTGAGCCCCAGAGACCGGCTAGTCTCCATCGCTGGGATGGAAAACTTCTGCCACGATTTTTATGCACGTTCTGGGGATTGATCTCAGGTTTTCATGGCTGCACAGCGAGCACACCACCAACTCCATCTCATTGCTAAGAGCTGAGGCGTCAGTGGCAGTATGTCCCGTTCCCTGCATTGTGAGTTTCCCTTCCTTCACGTTCAGTGACCACTTCTTGGTCACTGGGAGAGCAGATCCTCTACTACCGTCACTGAGGACCCCTCCCCAAGCTCTGGTGACTCAAAAACACGGTGTTTTTTCCACCCCGGAGCTGAGGACCGAACTCAGGGCCTTGCGCTTGCTAGGCAAGCGCTCTACCACTGAGCTAAATTCCCAACCCCGACACGGTGTTTTAAGTTCCGACTTGTGCTCTGTCAGTGTCCCCTAGGTCAGAGAAAGTGTCAAGAGGAGGCACCACCAAAGGAACCTCATGGGGTGGGGTGGTGGGAGCATTGGTCTGGAATCCCGGCTGCCTGGAGGGACGCACTGGGTCCCCTGAGCTCTGGGTGCAGCTGGGCTGGGGGATCAACAGCCCGGCGTCACAGCCCTGCCTTTCTCCCCAGGTCCTGACGCCAAGGGGGGCGACAGCCCCGCAGCCCCGGAGGACCCTCCTGCCGCCGAGGACACACGCAGCCCCTCGCAGCCGGCGCTCCCTCAGCTCCCGCGCCGCCCGCAGCTGCTGGATGAAGACGCCGGACCGGACGAGGATGGAGCCGCGGCCGCAGAGGGCAGCGATCCGGTCCGGGGGGACCCAGAACCCGCATCTGCGTCGAGCGAGGCAGGACCCATGCCCAAGGCCACCGGCGGCACCGTTCCGCCCATCGGCTTCGTGGGCGAGCCCCCGCCCTACGCGCCGCCGGACCCCAAGGCAGTGGCGCTGCTCTACCCGCCCTTCCCGCAGGTGCCGGTGCTGTTCCAGCCCGCGCCGGGGCCCGCCGCACTCTACCCGCCGCCGCCTGGCCCGCTCTTCCCACCCGCCGCTGCTGCCGGAGCCTCCTTCCCCTTCCCGGCGGTGAGAGCATGTCCCATGGTAGATCTGCACATAGGTGGCGAGAGATTTCTCGAGATGGGTTCCTAAGCATGAATAGGAGCTGGCCGGGAATGACACGGCACGGGCGGCGGAGTGGCCAAGCCAGATGTTCTGGGAAGGATGGGTTCGCTGTGGTGGTAAGAGGAGTAAGGGAGGCGACATCAGTGACGAAGGCCCCAAAGGGGTGAATGTGAGGTGGCAGCCTGATCGAAGGAAAAATAATAAAACTTTTTTTTTTTTTTTTTTTGAGACAGGGTTTCTCCGTGTAACGGCCCGGCTGTCCTGGAACTCTCTCTGTAGACCAGGCTGGCCTTGACTCACAGAAATCCGTTTGCTCTGCCTTCTGAGTGCTGGGATTAAAAGTGTGCACCACCACCTGGCTTTAAACAAACAACCAAACAAACATTACAGACAAGGTCTTATGTAGCTCAGGCTGGCCTGGGACTAACTATGTACTTGAGAATGCCTGATCCTGTTGCCTCCACCTCCTAAGTGCCAGGACTTTGGTGGTACAGGCCTTTAATCCCAGCAGAGGCTGGAGAATCTGAGTTTCAAGCCAGCCTGGTCTACATAAAGAGACCCTCCAGACAAACAGGCAGGCCGGCCGGCTGTGGGTGGCCAGTGGAGGAGAGGTGGAGGCCCCCAGTCTTTACAGCTCCCCGGCAGATAAGACATCCCGGTGGCCAGTCCTGGGCTCGGCAGTGTGTGCGGGGAGTGGGGGGGGGGCAGAGATGAGAGGACTCCTGGGGCCTGGGGGGGGGGTGTGAGGAGGGAAGGGGGTTCTTCCCTGGTTTTTCATGTAAGTGTGTCTGTCCCACAGTATGGCAGCCCCATGGCCGGTGGGCCTGGCCCCATGCAGGTGGAGCACAGGCCTCTGCCCAAGGACTTCATGATGGAGTCGGTGCTGGTGACCCTGTTCTGTTGCCTGCTCACAGGGCTTATTGCCATTGTGTACTCCCATGAGGTAGGTGACCGGGAGGGACACAGCCATAAGATAGAAGCCTCTGCCCTTCTGGGGACTGCACCCAGCAGCCAGCAGCTGGGCCGGACCCAGGAATAAGCCCTGTTGTTGTGCCTGGCCTTTCTTGTCTGGTTCCCCCCCCACCCCCCCACCTATGACCTTCATTACTGAAGACTTGTTCTGGCAAGTTCTAAAACAAAAAAGGCATAAATGATTGATGAGGCCCAAGGTGTTGCCCAGCCCTCTTGAGGTATTTTGGCAGCCTATAGTCTGCATATCAATCCAGCTGCCTCAACTGCCCCCTGTCTAGCTGCCATCTGCCTGTCCACGCCTCTGTCTCACTGGCTCACAACTCCTCACCGGTTCACCCTTATCTCTCCACTCTCCCTCCTGCTAAGACGCACCACTCTATCAATTCAGTCTCCCTCCCTCCACCCATCTGTCCTCTATCACCCCATCCGCTTACCTGCTTCACCTGCCTTTCCGCTCACCCACCTCCCATTTCCTGGTCACCTGCCTCTCTCCCTGTTCATTCGTTTGCACAACTATCTCTCTCCATCCACCCTCCATCTCACTAGTATCCGCCCCCCCCTCCGTCACTGTCCACGTGCCTGGCACTGGGTTAGGCCCGGGGGACTCATTGATGAAGGTGCCCTGACATTCTGATTGACAGAAGGCAAGCCTTGGGGGTGGGGTGGGGGGCTGTGCTTGCAGGTAAAGTCTGGCCTTGCTGGGAAGTGGGGGACCAGCCAGGACTAAGGGGAACAAGCAGCTTAGCACTGGGACAGTGGGTTGTGGCTTCACCACCAGCTGTGTGGCCCGGGAGGCCATTTATCCTGCTGAGCTTTCATGTCAGCAAAGTGGGGTGCAGTGAGCCCCATTTGAGAGCTGCTCTGAGGTGGCAGGAGGGGAGCCTGGGGGCATTTAGTGCTAGAGAGACCTCTGCCACCACTCCTGCACCTCTGTGAGCTGTGGGGCTGGGTCCCGATATTCCCAGGCTGTCAGGTTCTGGCTTGTGGCATGGGCCTGGTCTTGAAGGTGTGCTGGTGGGGTTGGGGTGGGTGGAGGGGGATCACTGTTGATGCATCCCACCCTGGCCTGTCTTGTTACAGACTCGAGCAGCCCTGGGCAGGGGTGACTTGGCCCAGGCGGAGGAGGCTTCGAGGAAGGCCCGGTCACTTGTACTCTTCAGTCTGCTCTTCGGGGTCTTTGTGTCTACCAGCTGGGTCATCTATGTGGTGGTGGCCCTCTACCTCCCCTGAGTGAGGCCCAGGACTTGCAGGCCAGCTTATTCCCTTTGTGTGGACCCTGATGCCCATTGGGGCTAGCTGTTGCTCATACAGGGCAAAGGGGGGGGGGTGGGCTCAGAAACCCTGTCCATGGGTGGTCCACTGAGGCTTTGGATAGGATCCTAATCTGAGGGACACAGGCCTGAAAGTCTTCCTGGGCTGCCTGCCTTCACCTTTACTCCTGGAGAACACAGAAGACTAAACTCACCATCTTCAGAGCCTTCCAGAGGACATGGCCACCTCCAGCCTAGCTCAGGATCTGGCTCTTGTCCTACTCGTCCTCCCTGGGAGAGTGGAGAGGGGTGCTTCTCCCCCTGGGAGTTCCTGCTTGGTCCTGCACCCTTGCCATGCTGGGAGAGATCAGGACTGCTGTGGTCAGTCAACAAGGAGTGACAGAATTCCTGTCACCATTTCAGAGGACACTGCTACTTTCTGTCTTCCATTTGTGTGCAGCTGAGTCCCAGGTCCACTGCCTGCCCTTCTCCGAGCTGTCCGAGGCCCACACTTACACAGGATGCCTCATTCCCCGAGAGCCATTTTTCTATAAACATCTCTCCTTACTGCCTCTGGCTTCTGCTGGCTTTCGGCTTCTGCCTTTCCCTGCCCCAGCTCATTCCTTTACAGTCATTGGCCCAAGTCGGTCAGCTGAGGGGTTGGAGATGTTTCAATTCGTTGAATGCATGCACAAAGCCCCTAGTTCCCTCCCCAGCACTACACAAATGGGGTATGGTGGTGTACATCTGTAACCCCAGAACTTGAGCAGAAGGAACAGTTCAAGGGCATCCTTGGCTATACTGAATGTTAGAGGCAAGCCTGTGCTACATGAGCCTGTCTCAAAACTAAAAGGGTCAGCTGGGCCCCCAGTTGGGGACAGCTGTCCCACCTGGGGGGTGCTCTCAGATCAGGGCACCCCAGATGCTGTGAGACACCTGTAGAATGATACATGGCTGTCCTCACATCATGTGCCCTGGGGTCAAGTCCAGGTGGCTGTGAGAAAGGTTGTTGTCACAGGAGTCCCACCCATCTGTGAGGAGGGCACTAGGATGGATCTGAAAAGCATAAGAGGCTCACACACAGGCTGGCATCTCCTCACTTCCTGCTGCCTGCCGCCAACAACTACTGCAGGGTACTGAAGGGGAAGCCCAGCCCTCCTCCAGGGGGCGGAGCCTGGAAAGAGGAAGTCTGCAGTGAGCATTATGGAGATCCAGGACACAGGGCTGTTCTGGAACCAAGAACTTGACCTTCAAAATGCATGAGAGCCACAAAGAGGAGGAAAGGATTTTGGGGGCTGGTAGATGCCTCAAAGATACCTCATAGCACCCAACAGCCAACTACACCATTCTCTCATACCTTTAAATAAGTCATGGTGGAAAGATGTCTAGAAGGCTGCTCCTTTGGAGGGGCTGTGAGTCACCTGCGGGAATCATGTTCAACTGCAGTGGGGCCTGTAACTGCAGCTTGAAGCTCTGCATGATTAATGAGCTTCCTGGCGCTTCTGTTGCTGCTCAGAACACCTAGGGTGGTGATTAATAAAACTGTCAAGGGTACCTGCATCAGGACCTTACCATGAAAGCTCCGGTGGCCGTTACTCAACGCTGTTGTGAAAGTGAAGCTGATATGAACAACAAGGAAGTGGAGTCTGAAGAGTGAGAAACAGAGGAGGCAGCTCAGCAGTATACACAGTTAGTGGGATGTCTCAGCACTGTGTGTGAATACACAGTTAGTGGGATGTCTCAGCACTGTGTGTGAACACACAGGTACAGTGGGATGTCTCAGCACTGTGTGTGAACACACAGGTACAGTGGGATGTCTCAGCA